TGGATTTTTTTGTTGTTGCTGCTGAAAGCCAGGAAGTGCTCTTTGTTGGTTATTACTCCAAGAAAAATTTGGATGGCTTCTCCATCCTGGATTGTAAGTGTTGGAGTAGGGATTGAAATTGGACATATTGCTACCATAAGAAACAAAATTAGCTTATTCAGAAGAAGAAGAAAATGGATTTCCTACTTGACAGTCTACACTAGTGTGTCCCCCTTGCCCACAAAGCTCACAAGAAGGGAAGGGAATAGAAGAAACACTCATAGCTGAAACCCCCGAATTTTCTAATTTATTATTTAATGCAGCAAATTAAGCCGATAAAGTAGTGATAGAATCAACATTATAAATTCCAACTCCCTTTTTATTTGCTCTCTCATTGCCCCATTGATAGCAATTGGCCACCATCTCCTCCAAAAGTTCATATGCTTCTTCGGGAGTTTTTCTCATAAGGGTACCACTTGCAGTTGCATCTAACATTGAACGATTAGATTGATTAATGCCACTATAAAAAGTTTGCACTTGCATCCAAACAGGTAGACCATGGTGAGGACACTTCCTAAGTAGTTCTTTAAATCTCTCCCATGAATCATATAAGGTTTCATTATCAAATTGAGAAAAAATTGTTATGTCATTCCTTAATTTAGCCGTTTTAGCAAGTGGAAAATACTTAGATAAAAACTTTTGTGCCAAGTCATCCCATGTAGTAATCGAACCTGTAGGAAGAGAGTTAAGCCAATCTTTTGCTTTGTCCCTTAAGGAGAAAGAAAATAACCTAATTCTAGTGGCATTGTCACTAACTCCATTATGCTTAAAAGTATCACATATTTCCAGAAAATTAGCAATATGAGAGTTAGGGTCATCATTGGGGCCAAAAAATTGCACACTCAACTGGATCATCTGAATAATTGCAGGCTTGATCTCAAAATTGTTTGCTTGCACATTCGGCCTCCTAATGCTTGATGTAGTACCATCCAGAGTAGGTATAGTGTAGGAGATCAATGTCCTTGGATTATTTTGGTCTTGAGCCACCTTGTTCTTTCTCTCCCTCATTCGCTTTTTCAAAGTCCTTTTGATTTCTTGATTAAGGGGTATTAATTATCTACCACTAGTGCGTGTGATGCACTAGGAACCTTCAAAGAAAAGAAAAAATTAAAAATTTCCTAAAAAAAAAATTTATAAAGCCAAACTCAATAGAAATTAAAATAGAAAATTTTAAATCCAAAAATAAGAGAAATAGATGTTCAATCTAAGGCTAATTCAGGTAGTTTTGATATGCAATAAACTAGTCCCCGTCAACGGCGCCAAAAACTTGCTGTGTGATTTATGCACAATTAATTCAGGCAAGTGTACCTTAGTCAAATGTTCGTATAATGATGAGAAAAGTGGCGATCCCACAGAGATTAGATCACAGTACCAAATCAATTTTAATGCAAATCCAAGAACTTAATAAAAACTGAATTGATGGATGAATGTAGCTAGGGTTTAGATTTCATTGAATCAAGGTTACATAATTACCTATTTAATCCAACTCAAGACCGAAATTACCCTAAGGTATATTAAAGTTACTT